CACCCAGAAACAGGAAAACTAACACTAAAAAAGTCTCCAACTCAAATAGCTTGGGGCCTAGGACCCCAAGCTAAGCAGCTAAGACCAAGAGGTTTGCATGAAGAATGATGAAGACCCCCTCCCGTGCTCCTTGGCATCCCGTGGCTGCGCTCCCAAGGCTTGGCCAATGGGCCTAGATTCGAGGATCGCGCTGGTGCACGAGTCCACCGAAGCGCGATCCGAGGAGCAGCGATCGTGGAGGTGTCCCATCTGTTCTCTTCCCGCAGTGCAGGTGGGTTTGGCAGAATTCAAGGACCTTTCTCGATCAAGGGGTAGATGTGAGGAATCTTCTAAGGAGTTTTCCTTGCCAAAAGGTTACTTCAGATTGATGTTCTGCATCTTTCCTATCCACCGCTGGAACGGTTCATCTTGGCGAAGAAATGCTACGACATCCTCAGTCTGCCAAACCATCGCCTATCCATCCACACAGAAAGTTCAAACATGAGCACCTCCTTTAGTCCTTTACCTAATGAGTCTTTAGCGCATCATTTCTGACTCAGGTTGTTGAGATGGACGGGGCCCTGAATCAAATGTTCAACCTGGTTTCATTCAGGATCTTCTATCCTGGAATGGGTCCATGTCCAAGGGAACCTCAGTCTCTATCACATTAATTGGCATAATCTTGAAGTGGCAGTTCTTCTGCAGGCGCATCGTCATGCGGATGGCATTCTTGTAGATGCACGCCTGACTTGCAAAGTGTTGTATGATTGTGCATTGATTGTACCATCTATATCTTCTGAAACCACTGCACAGCATCATTGTATCATACTGTTCCCGAATGTTCCTGCAACCCCTTATAACTTATGCACTTATGCACCTTCACACCCGACCTGTCCCCAAAATGGCCCCGAACTTATGCACCCTCCGCGAGTTCGGTGCTCCCGGGTGCCCGGCCCCTCCAAAGCGATGGCGATCATCAACTCCTCGAGGGCGAGCCGTTGCGAGTGTGTATCACGGTGCGGAGCAGTGCTCCGCAGGCACTGCAGGTGATGCTTTTCCAACAAGTTGGTAGTTGTGATCGCTTAGTAGGTTGGAGGACTGGTTGGAGGCCTTCGCTTAGTAGGTTGGAGGCCATTGCTCTTAGGTCGCAGGCCATTGCTGGTACAAGTTGGTAGTTGTGATCGCTTGTGATCGTTGGTGATGCCGTTTGAAGCCACCTTGCCACCGGTCGCACCTGGCCTGGCGGTTCTTGGCCACTGCGGCTTGGTCCTCCTTGGGGGCCAACAAGCCTGGCGAGCGTAGCCCAAAAAGAGAGGCTTTGTGTACCAAAGGTGGGTAAGGAGACCTTCCCCGATGGCCCGGTGCGGGGTAACACGTCCTTAAAGAATCGGAAGGGCTTGACCGCTTGACCTTGTGAGACAGAACCCCCCCAAAACCGTCAACCTGGGAACTCTACAATAATTAGTGGGGGTTGGAGAACCTGAGATGTAAAAAGCCTTTCACTTTGAACACTTCCCAATCAACCAGTCGTAGTAAATGTACAGTAAATGTATATACTATACGTGATTCATCAACAGGGATCGTGCAGCACCATAACGCACCATCATAACGAACCATCAATCACACAATAAGCGATACCGTGACCATCGACCATCGACCATCTTTTCACGTCAGGCAGTTGCCAAAGCCAAGTGAATCCAGCTACAAGCTCCTGACAATTTGTCATCGCCCTGTCTGCGCCAAGCTCATCTGGACTTGAAGCCATACTTCTTTCCTGGCAATTCAGGTGCACAGCTTGGCCATCCAAGTGAACAGCTTCCCTCCATGCTTGGCCTCTCCATGTCTTTTTTCACATGCATGGCCGGCCTTTCCCCCCAGCACGCCGCACCCCAAAAGTGAGTTCCCCACAAAAATCACAAAACGAAGAGCAAGAACACACGGCACGGTGGGTGATGGAGGATGATGGTGATCACAACTTTGGTTCCACTCTTCAGACCTACTAGGAGCAAGGACGCTACTAGTAGCTCCTGGCATTACTACTAGTAGCAAGAAGCTGCCAGTAGCAAAGGGCATCGCTACGAATGGAGCAAGAAGCTACTCACTTGGACATCTTAGAAAGACAAAGACGACGTCGACTTCGCTGCCCAGGGTCGCTCATAGAAGAGATCGGTCCGGGCGGTGCCCAGGTTCACGATCTTGGGGCATCCATCGCGGTCCTCTCATGGTAACCACACTGCGACACGAGATCCGAACGCCACGCCACGCGAGCATGCGTTTGTGTTCATTTGGAGAATTGGGTATGTGTGTGTGTGTGTGTGTTTGATGGAAACACACAAAGGTGATCTCGTGAACAGTCCTGGTCGATGGCGCAATCCCTTAAATGGTTTTAAGGTCTTGGCTAGTCTTTGACAGTGGTTCACAGGGGGCCAAGGAGATGTGCTAAGTGGCGCTTCTCCTTCTCCAGTCCTACTGAGGATCCAGTCCTACATTGACGACTCTTCGATCTCCAAGAGGTGCCGATAGAGTTCCGACAGTTGGGCAAAATTAATTGGCAGGCTGAGATCTGAGTCCATCTACCCCACTCCGCAGCTACGAAAACAAAACGATCCATGGCTTAACTGGCCCCCCCAAGTACCGTCAGTCCTTCTCACACTGGCAGCACTCCTTGCAGTAGAAGGCATCCGAGATCCCTGCGCCGCCGCAGATCACGCACCGCCCCTGGTAGCTGCCTGACGCGTCGCAAATCACGCACGGGGGGAGCGTCAAACGACTTGACGACGCCGCGGAGACGACACCCTGAGCAACCAAGAGTGGCTGAGAATTCTCGGCAGGGGAGAATTGGTGCAAAAGTTGGGAGTTGGCGAAGCAACCCACAGGGAGTGGAAGTTGCTGAGTGGATTCACTATGATTCACTGCGGTGACAAAAGATATCAAATAATAGTAAAGAATATCCTAGGGCTCCATGTTTTTTGGAAAAAACAAAAGGTTTCTTCTAGAGAGTAGTATCTCACAAGTCTTCCTGTCTTGCTTCGGTATGATGATAAGGTTGCACATATAGAAAACACATGAAAACACATCGTAACTTGTTTGCGTCATGATGTGTAATGTATGTATCATGATCTTGATCATGATCACAATTCTATGTACTTCAGAAAGGTTTGATTTATGTGCCGTGTATGTGCACGCAAAAACCATTGTTCCCTCATGCTCCCTCAACCTGGGCCGCTAGCCACCTGGGTCCATCCAAACTGGCCGCCCAGGTGCCGTAGTTGCACTCGTCACAAACCCGTGCCAGTTGAGAGGGCCTTCCATCCAGGTTGGAGGGCACAAAGGGAACCGGCTGGGACTCACGGTTCAATGCCGACGAGTTCGGAGCGTTCAGTGCGGTGCAGCTCAAGGGTGTTCGGAGGGTCCGGTTTCGATGTCATTTGTCGGTTGCTCCTTTCGGCAGCACGGTTGGACCATCCATCCATGGGGTTTGAAGCTCTCTAAAGGGGGCAGCGATAAACACATACGCCAACATACGACAGTTCCGCATGGTTGGAGTGGTTTCACTATATAAGGGAGTGGAGGTTCACGGCACCCGCTCCAATTTATGCCGAAATGTGGCTGGGAAGCCTTGCCACTTCGGCGGCAGAATGTGCACCAACTCAATGCGTCCAATGTGCGCCACCAGGGTGGCGCAACCAGCACAACTGTTTCTTTTGAAGCCGTCATCCTTCTTCTTTTGATCATTTTGCATCTAGGGTTCAGAAATGTGGGTGACCGTGCTCTTCATCTTTCATAATGCTGTAATTTCGGGAAAGCCTTGTTCTGGAACTCAACCCCGCATGACTCATCCACTGCAAAACGCTTGAGTTTCAATTTTCAATTCACAACAATCCACCAAAAGTCTGCCTCAATTAAGCGCAAAATTGTCCTAGATGAGTGGTTGCTCCACATCTATCAGGGCCCTCTCATCAGAAACAGCAAAAGTGCCATGGCACACCATGGCATACAACTTAAGGCACACCATGACGTGTGCCATGGCGTGTGCCCTGGCGGACCTTCTCCACCTCCGATCGCCGACCGAGCCACGCCACCGAATGAATCCGAATGAAAACGGCCGAGAGCGTGCCTCACATAGGAGTCGCAAATCACGCACTTTCCGTCGCACTTCTCGCAGAGGCGTCCGATGGCAATGCCGCACTGCTTGCGGCACATGATGAGGTCCTGGTGGCACGGGGCGAGGCATGTGGGTTGGGAGGGGACGAGGGAAGCTGGCGTAAAAACAATGGATGTATTTGATGCCTCGATGCACACCTTTTTCAGAACTGAAAGGCTCAGGACAAAACGGAAGAATTAGAATGATGGAGAATGTATGAGTGTATGAGCCGACAAATCTGTGCTGCAGTGTCCAACGTGTGAAGCAACATGACAAAGCTCACCTCCTCAGTGTCAAAGTATCCATCCGAGCTCATACCCACACCATACCAAACCCATCTCCCTCTTGTCCATGTTGTGGTCCCTGCATTCACGTCTCCCCAATGCCGACCCCCACAAATGTCCGGATGGTGCTTTGCCATGGCGACGCTGCTGCGGCGAGGAAACCCAAGTTACGTCCCGCAACGACCCCAACGCACAGTCCCGCTGCACGGTCGCGTCTGAGCCACACGTCTGACCAAGGACCAGCACGTACGTGTGTGCAACATCGGGTTCAGGAACTGTGGACCGTAGAACAACCCTTCTAATTAATTACTAACGTTGGATAGATCTGAGATATTCTCAAATGTATATATACCAGCGGCATCCATTGGTACATTAATTCTTGTACGTTTTGAAAAGTGGTCACGATGGTGGTTTCTGCCACTGGTGTTGGAAAACGCTCGCTTTCCACAAAAGTGTACGAGACGATACTAGACCCTCCCACCCACACCATACACACACACCCATGTATGTTTGCTCATCAAGTTCCTGCTGAACCTGCTGGACAACATCGCGTCTGGAGCCTCAGCCGTTGGTGTTTTCTGACTCGCCACGCTTCAGGGTTTGAATCCCTCCTCGAAATACCTTTTGTACTTCATGAGGCACCGTGTCATCACACGATGTACTATCAGAGAGCCTGCATTGAGCCTGCGCGCTACCCTGCAGCATTTTCCTATATAATCTTCATCGCTCCAGCACCCCCAGCCTTAGTTCAGGAAGCTGTTAGGGCCAGAAAGGTTTCACATGCAAACACTTGGCCAGTATCAGTCTAGGAGCAAAGGGGGTTAAGGACTTTGGAAGTCCAAGTGCAATCCTTCTCCAGCATCGTCCTTGGCATCAAAGGTGTGCACAAAATTCTTACCAGCAAAAAGGAATGTGAATCGCTTCAACTAAGCCTCGAGATGTGTACCCAAATATGCAGCTTGGGTCGTAACTTGTAAAGGTGCCAGCCTCGCTGCTTGGCCAAAGATGCCAAAGCTGCAAACCCCTCCTGGGCTAAGATGACTTTTCACCAGCACAGTAACAGCTAAGGCTTTTCCTAACCAGACCAATTTAAAGAAAACATGCACTTGGAGGGACAACAAGTATCGCCACCAGCAAACCCATGTTGCACAACCCTTTGCGCCACTGAGACTGGCATCCAGAGCCCTTCGCCATGAACTAAGTGGTAGAACATGTTGAAGTTCTGCAACGTCCACTGCAGGATCTCCATGATGTTTGGGTGTTCCTAGATGTTTTTAGGCAACAGATCCACAAATGCATGCTCTCCTATCAGAGCACCACCAACAAGAATAAACAAAAAGGTTTGCAGTCCCAGCCAATAGTCAAAATCTCCAGGAACTATCCCCTGAAGTTCTGCATTCAGCCACTTACAAACAAGCCCCGTGTCATGAGCCCGGCCCGTACCTCGAGGATACTGCTTCAACCTGGCAATGGCTCAGGCAAGATGGGCCAGGGATTGATTGGTGGCTGGCAGGTGTTGGGAGTTGAGAAAAAATAGAAAGCATGCAGAAATCCAAGACCAGTTCAGAAACGAAGTCATATGGAACTTGTTCAGCTCAAAAGACTTGATCTGGGCATTCTTGTGGTTGTCAAAGCACCATTGAGCAAAACGGTCATATGCGCAATCCAAACGTTTCTGAATTGTGGACCCATAGTCATCAAAGAAACTCAGACAACAAAGAGTAATGACCGCAGAAAAAGCGAAGTCACCGCCAATGCCAATATTGAATGTATGCATTAAGTCTGGCTTGATCGCAGAGGGCCTGTCACCACCTGGAATGGATCTCAGTGGTGAAGGCGTACCTGCCTTGTAAGGGTGAGGAGCTGGCTCAGCATTCCTCCAATCCCGTGCTTCACAAGAGGATGTCATATTCCACCATTCCTAGGATGAAAACAAGTTCCACTTATAAATAACTTAGATATATATATATATATGCACAAACAATTGCGAGACCCAAACACACAAAACATAAATTTGTCTATGTACATTGAAGCATCTGATCCACTGCATAAATGGCAGACCCTCCGTGAGGTGAAGCAGCTGGCCAAATTATATGCCTTCCTAAGCCATGGCCAATCTCCCTTACACCCCAGGAACGCCACAAAGAACTGCTTGCGTTGGCCAGCAACCTGCATGGAGAGTGCTGGACCCACCCCCACCAAACAAAGATAAACACATTGGGACCCATTCAAACCCTTTAAGATCCTTTTGGTTCTTTGAGGTTGAGATTTGAAAAGAAGCAAAGCTTTATATATATCCTTCAAAGGAACTGTCACCGTAAGTCCCTCCTCAAACAGCGCAGTCAAATCAGCAGCCAACGCTTGCAGGAGTCCACGAATGCTCGCATCTTTGCGGGCATACCATGTGGCAGGCATCAGGGTATACAATAGCCTTGTCGTGAAAGAGTTCCTCAATTGGGCCACGGGTCTGTGGACAAGAACATGTCCTTCTCATATTGAATATCCAGGATATGTGGAAGAAATACCATAAAACTATAATAATATTAATTCAGCACTAAGGGACTGAGAGCAATTGAGTTTATCTGGGCCGGAAGATGGGATCAGCAACTGGTAGGATACGCACATTACTGGCACTTTGGAAAGTCCACGACCTTCATCCCCATGAATGGCAATCGGTATGGTGTGTTGTAGTTCCTCCAAGCTCTTCTCACGAACTGGGTGGTCCCGGTCAAGTATGCAATAGTTGATCCAGAACGAAGCAAACATGTCCATGTAGGATTGATGACCATCCTTCTCAGGGCAATACCCTCCCAGTATATATCTTGGGTACTTCTCCAGCATTTGTTGACACCAGCTTGATAGGTGTATCACAGGATGGTCACCAAGCCTTTCCTTGACACGCCGCTTCCCAGAGGTTGTGGTCACCTTCTGCCGCAGTAGGATTGAAATGGATGAAACCTTAACATCCAGAACCCTGCCATGCCGGTGCACATACCGGTGGAAGTCCCGAGCAGCATTTGCACCTTTCCTCCCACTCTTCGACTGTCTGTACCGGGCCAACCGGTTGAGTTCATGATCTTGGACACCTGCACGGAGTGAGATGTCAGGGAAGGTTCACCCCATGCTAGCTACATGCATGGAACATGTTTAAAATAGTTCTTCAAAAACAAAGAACCCATGTGCACCCAATCGCTTCATCCTTTTGGCTGCAACAGCTGCCAGTTTAATGATTCGCTTGGAAGAAGTAGCCTAGGACAGTGAGCCAATAAGGAAAGAAACAACAGGGTCACCACAGGTTTCAATAGTATATACCTCATGAAAAGTATAGAAATTGCAAAACCAACTATATCTTGGCAAAGGTCCCCTTGCTCAGTGTCCTGGAGCAAAGCGTCCACAAGGTCAGACGTCGAAGATGATGATCCTGCCAGCGGTTGTGTGCACCCACTTTCCACCTCCCCAGCTGCCACCCGAAGGCCTTGATCATCCTGATCAGGCTCTTGGTCACAAGGATCCAGGCCTGCACACAGCACACCGTGGGAATTGGGGAATGCTTGGTGGCACCGGGCCTGGTGCCACCTGGTGTGTGAGCAGGCCAGTGAATCACGGTCCTTTTTCTTTGACATTTGCCCCCATCAAAGCTCTTCGAACACAAATGGTTGAGATCCTATTGCAAATTTGACAGCAGCGTCCAGCAACACGCTGTTTGCAGTGAGATTAGGTAGAAAAGTTGGCTCCTTCAAACAACAAAGGACAACCTAGCTATATCGTAATAGTTTTTGGAATTGTTTCACCACATCATAAGAGCCAGGTCTTGAAATGCCAAAGAACCCCATTTCTCCTTGGAAGTGGGGCCTGTCCTACTTCTTTGCTTTCTTGGCCTTTGCGACCTCTCCCGAAGGCGGGTTCCGCTTCAACGATTTCTTTGCAGCCACAGACTCAGTTGGCTTCTTGATATTCCTCAGGAGGAGCTCAGGTAATTCGATCATGCATGTATAAAAAAGACAATGCACAGCTATAGCCATAAGTTCTAAATGGCATTTGAGAATCTTGCTCCGAGTGAGGTAGTTGTTAAGTGTCACATCATCCTTTGTGCACTGTGCAAAAAGTCCCATCACCTCGTTCTTCTTGGCCTCAAGACTCCTTTGGGAAGTTCTGCACAAAAATCATTTTGTGTTCCCTCAAAATAACTACATGACATTAAGAGTTACAAAAATTTGGACCCCCCCACTCAGGTTTGGAGGTATCCATGGCAAGGTAGTCAGCTTGCTTGGCACTCAACTTGCCATACAGGCTGTTCAAGCTTGTGAGCAACTTCTCCATCTCTTTGGCCATCCTTATGAATCACAGCACACAAAATATAACCATGAGGTTGCATGAAATTAGTGGCACAATCTAGCACCCACACACACATGTCAATATTCGCCCAAGGAACTCTGTTGCACGGGGAATCTTCATCGCGATAAGACGGTCCTGGTAAGCAGAATATATATTGCATGGACTTATTGCAAACTGTTTGTGTGCACACCCACGTATATAGTCCTTGGTGTCAGTTGCTGAGTCGACTTTCTTGCCCAGTACATTGATGAATGTGGGTAGTACAGCAAATGGCGAATCATTTCGCTGGATAGTCGGAAACACCAGCCTCAACTAGAGTTTACCCCCACCCTACAAGAATCCAGCATGGACAACTCACATGACAAGATGTGCATGCTTTATTGCAGCACAGTGCTGTCAAAGTTGCTTGCTCTTGCCTGCAGCAGCCACAACAGCTGCTTGCTTAACACGGTCTTCAGCAGATTCTGGAACTGCTGCGTTTGCATCCTCCCCAGCAAATTGGGACTCCAGCATGCCTCCATCCACATCCTGCCCACAAATAATGTCGATCAATTGTAGCGTATATCGATATGTATACATACAGATCTCAGATATACAGTCACTCATTTCAATCTACTCAAATGGAAGCCTTGCCTCAAGAGTCCCTTGAGCCCGAAGATTTGTCGACTCCCCTGTTTCAGAAGTGTGCTGGAAAAAATCTTCAAGAACAAGACGGGCTTCTTGTTCCCCATGAACTTGGTTGGTACGAAGAAGACCGCGTTTCTCTGCCCATGCAAAGGACCTATCCGCCATTTGCCTTAGATCATGAAGAGCTAATGTGCATAAAGGTATATAGTTTGCTTTGGTAATTACACAGCATTCCATACACATACACATCAAAACAAGCAAGATGCGCAGTGTAGTTTTCCTTTTCTCTCAAATAGGTCTTGGTGACCCATTTGCCATGTTGGCCAACCCGTTTCAGCTCGGTATGCCAACGTGCAACCTCGGCCTCCACACTTTTGAAGGAACCATGAGTCTTGAGCAAAGCCCGGAGCTTGTCACCTTATACAGCGGGTGCGTGACACACCCCGTCTAAAAGATAGGAAACAAATGACATTTGCAAGTCCACATGCTATGAATAGGGGACATGAGACGACCTTCATCAGTGTTGTACAACTGCAGCACTTCCTTTGAAGCCTTGACCTGTGTCTTGTACTTCGGGTCACAATAGCGCCGAATCCTAGGTACATAGAACAAAACCGAAGCACCAAAAGTGGCAGGTGTTCCAAAACATTTCAAAAACAATTCAGGCACCACACACACATACATGTTCTGTTGCCATCTAGGCACTGGTGGTAGTACTTGTCAAACTTGTTTTCAGACTCTGCTGACTCTGCTGCATGAGCGGTCGAGGGTACCACAGATGATGGCACTGGGGAACCTGGGGAATACCCAAGTGGCACCCCATCATCCCCATCCCCTGCCACTGCCGTTGGACGATCCTTTCCACCCTCACCCTTAGTGAGATCGATCACATTGTCACCCACACCCTGGCCACCATCCTGAGCCTGCAGTTGGTCACCCACACCAGGGCCATCTTGACCCTGTGGTTGACCACCTTGAGACAGCGGAGGCGTATCACCTTCTTTCCCACCTGCTTCCTGCGTGGGTGGCACCGGTGTATCAGGAAGGGTCAGGGTTTGGTTCACATATGGTTCGGCAGGAGGAACCACATGAAGTGAATGCAAGTCTTTCGATTCCATCCTCCATGCACTGTCAAACGAAGGAGGACGAGGGCTCACATCGGGCAGAGCACTCTGAGCCAATGGAGCTTGTGTATTCCCAGCCACAAAGGCACCACTAGCTGATGCAATAGCCGGGGCACCTTCGGAAATCAAGTTGATAATCAAACATCCATAGTGGGGAAGGCTCACACACACATGGGACCATACATAGTGCACATGTGAAAAGCATCACCCTTGGTTCAGCCTGGGACCGCTGAGGTGCCCCTCTCCTGCAAGAAGCTGTTGCGACGAGCTTTCAGTGCCGCTATCTTGGCACGGGTCTCCTGGGCGGTGAGCGGGCGGTGGGCAGGCGGCAACAAGGGGTTCATACAATTAAGATCTATTCAGCCCATATATATTAGCATATTCAGCATTCAGATGAGGTTCCTCAAGCTTTGCCAGAGTAGCTTCTTTGCTGTAGTCCCGTGTTGGACAAGACATGGCACAGCCCTTGACTAAAGTCAGGCAACTAGTCACCTCCTTTGGCATCTCTTGGACCCAAAAATCTGGTTTAGCTAGACAATTCATGACAACTAGCAGTTCATCCCTGAAATGCATTCCACAAAAGTACACTTTTGAAATTTTCGGTTTTTTGCGGTTTTTTGCGCGGATTTGCGCCCGTTTTGCGCAAATTTTCGGTCGAGAAGATTTGTGTGAATCCACACAAATCACCTAAAGATACCTCCACAGCCTAAGATTGAACAGCTGCATTGTATTCCAAGCGTTCCACCTCATCAACGCATGCCTGGGCTGGCACCGGGCAGGAAAGGGATGTGATGGGCACCAGCAATGAAAGCCTGGTACAGGTAAGGTGCTAGCTTGATCAAGTCATCATTGAATTTGGACATCACGGCCATCCAGCTGTCTGGAACGACCAGATGCTTGCTACTGTAAAGGTAAAAGAAAACATGGTGGAGCTCTGCATCCAACCAGGGATCACCTAGTGGCATTGAATCAAATAGTTCCCTGTCTGAACAGGTCAGGTCAACAGCGGCTTTGTGTCGTAGGTGACTCGGCAACTCACGACGTCCTTCGTAGAGCTCCAGTAGACGCAATCCAAACCCTTCAGGATATGCCCTCAGAGGACAGAGCATGAGATTGCATGGGAACAGCTATGTACACATATCGAATCTAGGTAGCCAACGCTGTTTGCTTGAGATCACCAGTGCCAACAAATTTCTTCTCCCCACGTTTGTTCTGGTATTTGCCTCATTCCAGAGCAACACTCTTCTAATTAAGTTTGCAAACAGCCACATGATGAAACATAAGGTTCTGACGGACTGGTTGAAGGGATGTGTTGGCTTCTTTGGTTTTTTTGGTCAACTTGCCCATATTGAGGCCCTGGATCCATGTGGCATTGCTCCAGCACAGAGTTGGTTTACTGGTGAGGCCGCCCAGAAGCATCATCCAGAAGCGAACGCAATAAACCTTGGCCCCACTTTATGGGAAAGGTTTGGGTCCAGATCTCAATGGGGTTGACAGGTGGCCAACGTTTTCAAACGTACTGGGAAGGATCACCTGTTGCAAATTAATTGAGTTGAGAAGCATAGCATGTGGAATTACAAAACGCCTCCCATCTCCGATGTCGATTCAGGATCGATCCACCAGGTTGCTCAACTACAAAGTAGCAATGTTTCGCCACTATGACCATCAAGATCAGAACCATCCTGGGACAGAGACCAGTTATTAGTTTAAGATGGCCCCCAGCCAACCTAGAAAAGATGAAGGTTGCAAATAGAAAGCCTTATAGATCACACTGGTCCAAAAGTCCGACTGATGCAAAGATTCCCTTGCCCAACAAAGTCTAAATGCATAGCTCCATTCACATTGACATATGTCCTTCTTGTTGTACCCCTTGCTGGAACTCCCCATGAACTGCAGTCCGGGCCCATCAGGTTCATCGATTCTTCAGCTTCGCAAAGAACTACCCATAGCACTAGCCTCAGGAGATGGCTCCCCAGCACGGCAGTGAGCAAGTGCATACATATGCCATGTGTATGGTTATGTTTATTATGTTCTTTAGACAAAAAACGCGAACCCCGCAGAGTTCAAAAAGTTCATGGTCCTCTCCCCCTTGCAATAGATCTCATCAATTTTTGCACAAATATATCCCCTGGATTTCCTTAGCTGTCTAGGAATGCAGATTGTATGGCTCATACAGCGAACTGCTACCTTCTAGTAAAATTCTTTGCACATGCATATGTACGTGCTTCAAAGGGCCAAACTGTGTAGGCCTTAGCCTCTCCTGCAAAAAGGTCCAAGAACTGGAACCGCGTTCGGATCTCTGGCAGATTCTTTGACCATTGAAGCAACAACACGATTGCTATCAGGACCTGCACACGGGCATGAACACCAATTGTTGCACTATACATTGCCACATAAGACATATTAACACCCATGTTGTGCCAGCCTTGGGGGCTCCGACTTGCTGAAGATTCACCACCATGGAATCCATGGCTTCACAACAGTCAGGGGACCGGGGATCCAAAAGGTTAAACAGCTCTGATAGATACAGCAGCCATGTGCAGATGCTCTTCAATGTGCTGAACAATAGGTGCAAAGGTTCAGAAGTGGGACCTAAGAAAGTCAAAGGATCCGAAGTGGCCTCCAAATCGAATGGCCCAGCCCTCATTCATGATGAAGGCCTGGACCTGCGTAGGCACATTGGAGCAATTGCTTGCCATGTGTTCCTTGTGGTGCGTTGATTGCAATGCCTCCCCCTCGACCCGTAAAACCATGTACAACCCTTTTCAACTTCTCTTCCCCAAAGCTCTCACGTGTTCAAACGGCTGATTGGCATGGGCGCTGCTGTGCAGCCTTTGCCATGACCATTTCCTCACATGAGATAACCCCGAAGCTCTAGCCATTTCAGCTAGGCCAAGATGCCCTCACAGAACCAGATATAGATATCACTTGGTGTTGCGATAAGCCTTAGCTCAACTCCAACTTGCAAAATACAAAGAGAAGCAGCACTGTGCCAGACACAAACACCAAGAAACCTCTTTTGCAATCTCTAGTGCTTCTTCCTTCGTGTGTCCTTCCTTCAGAGCCGCCCGCTTTGCCGTATGATATGCAGAACTCTTCCTGCTTTGTTTTGCTTTTGTCTCCAACTTCTCAGCCTCCTTCTCATCAGCCTCTTCATCCTGGTTTTCACTGCTGTCTTTACCATTCTTTTCATGCGCAGCTTTCCGCCCTGATTCCTTCTTTGACCTCTTTGGCTTGCTTGGCTCCTCTGTCTCCTCAGCTTCCTCCTTTGCATCAACCTTGGCCTGAACCGACTTCCTTTTCCTTGCCAACGCCTTGCCCTTTTCCTCCTCATCATCCTGGTCAGGCTTGGTTTGCCGCATCTTCTTTTTATCCTTTTCCTCTGGCTTCTTGGTCTTTTCCTGCTTCTCCTTTTTGTCAGTCTTGGTCTCTGGTCGAACCCGCTTCCTTCGCTTTGGCTTCTCATTCTTCTCCTGTGCCTCATCCTCCTTTGCCTCCTCCGCTTCATCATTCTGCGTTTTGTTCTTCTGCGTCTTTGCTTGTTGGTTCTTCTTTGACTCCTTTGTCCGAGCTTTCTGTTTTGCCATAGCCTTTGCTTTTGCAGTCTTCTTTGAAGTTTTCTCCTTCTTGCTTTTCTTGGATTCCTTTGGCTCGGGTGGAGGCTCCTCCACAGATTCATGATCATCAGAATCTCCAGCATTTGATTCTTCACCGCTGCAGCTGTCATTTTCTTCAGCCTCATCATCAGATCCACTCTCTCTTGCCTTCTTTCCTTTGCCCTTTCCATTCTTCTTGCCTCTTCCACGGCCTTTGGCTCCCTTCTTCTCCTTCTTGTCAGACTTCTTTTTTCGGGGTGCTTGCTCTTGCGGTGCCAGGATTGGAATAGCATCCAGTGCTGCTGGCCTCCCAACTGCTCCCTTTAATGGCACTTCTTCCTCTTCTTCTTTTGGTTCTTCTTCTTTTTCTCCACTTTCAGCTTTGGCTGCATTCTCAGGTGCGGCTTCTCCCTTTGCACAATCCTTCTCATTTTGTTCATGGTCATCGTCTCTGGCTTCTC